GCAGAAACTCGGGCTACTCGCATGCCAGCTGGGACGCACTTTGCCTTCTCGTCCTTCTTTCGGGCCTGACAGGACTTTTTAGACGAATCAAACTCTTCCCTTTCTTTTCATTCCCGAATTCAAGCAGTTGTATACATTGTTATATGAACGAACCAGTGCAAAAACATAGCATATGTGTACAGTACATGGACGATCTAAGCTTTGAGATGCAGGCTCTTTGCAAGCACAGATGTCGTCACCGCAAACGACAAAGGTGTGGAGCTTGTAAACATCGTATGTTCATGACATCTGGTGTCATTTTTTGCGTCTGGTGCTACTTCATGGTATCACGCAATCGAGGTCACGCTTTGATGACAATGCCCATGACATGTACTGATAGCCTTCAGGTTCTGTGCCGTTGCGGGCTTACTGTATAAATGCCTTCTCTGTTGAGATGCGCCTTTGGGTGATTCTTGTCCCTGCCATTTCGACATGTTTTAATGCTTTACGAAGGAAACCACGACAATACTTCAAGCAGGGCTGTGAGACATTGTGCGAAGTCTGGAGCTGCAGTTGGTGCGACTTGGGGCCGCCAACGTATTTGAGCGGCAATTCACCGACATCTTTCAAAAACATCACGGTACATCACTCGAAACCATTTCCCCTCAGCCTGGCTCCCTGCAATGTTCATCGTAAGACAAGACCTGAGGCACGCGAATTGGATCAAAATACATAAAAAAAACAAACACAATGAAAAAAAACAATCCACAACTCACAGGAAGAACAAAGTGTGTATCTAGTTGAAGCAAGCTTTTGGGACCTGAGGGTGCAGGTGTCTGTGTGTGGCAAGACTGTGGGGACTGTTTTTTCTAGAATAGACTCCCTGTCACGAGGCAAGTTGTTTCAAACGTCTTCGTCTTCAAAAATCACCTAACCTATATATTTCCAATGCCGGTGCGTTGCCCCACATTACACTTAGCCGGTAACTCCCCGGAATGCATCATGGTCGGTGACCACGCTACACTTCGCCACATCACAAATCACCACATTAGTCACATTACATGTCCGAATCAGCATCACAGGCAACTAACACTTCCCCACGCCACAAGTACTTGGTACATCTGCCAAAAATACCATGATCGACAAAATTCGTCCCGTCCGTGCCAGCAAGAACACACCTTTTCGAAGCCTGAGGACAGGCGAGGTGTTCAGCGAAGCAAAAAGGTGTAAAGAAAGCTGGCCTTGATGGTTTTCTTCAACGGCCAGAGTCATGCATCTTGATGCACGAATGGAACATTCATTCAAATCTTCAGATCTCCCCTATCCCCTATCCAGGGCATGCTAGAGAACTGGTGAGGCACTTCGCGATGCGATCTACAAGGGAAGCAGGGTAGGGTTGGGCCAGAAGTGTTAAAAAGACTCCTGACGAGTTCTGACCCTGCAAATGCACGTGTTTGCACTGCGAAGCGGAGCAGAAACCAAAGGAACCTTGACAGAGCTTAAATTCAAAGTTGGGAACCAGCCATCCGAGGAAGGATGTAGCCTTTTTCCAAGGCTTTCCATATTGACAGTAGTGGACATGTTGGAAGAAAGCGCCCTTGCCGATCAGACCGTGCATTTCATTAGTCAACCAGGCACGGCTGGTCTGAGGGTTTTCGATGGTACCCGGAATTTCAAATTTCATGCAAGCAAGGGCCAACTGACAGGTAGACTTTAAAAGTTCGTTGCCCCTTAAGACCTTTTCCCTGTCATGGCGCGTCAAATTTGGGCGTCCATACAAAAACAAGTCGTTGTCTCTAAGTGGAGGTGGACCTCCATCCCATTTTCGAGCTAACGACCAACTCTCACAGGGCATTCCGAAGTGCACTACAGAAAAATCTTGTCTTTTGATGGCTGAGAGGATCTTTGCGAAAACTTGGGGAGACAAAATGTCTCCATCGGATCCCCAACATATGTCATATGCATGCACAGTGAAACCATGGTGGCATAAGGCTCTCGACCAAGCGGCACATCCAGCAAACAGTTCTAAAGCAGGTTTGAGGCCATTGGGGTTTTTCGGGGTGAAGAGCTTGTGACCATTGCTTGCAACAACCCTGGCGATGCCTGCGCTCTCCGTTTGATCGCCGGCGGCAGCTTGTCGTGGAGCTGCGCCACTTTGGCGTGGCTTTCGTACCTTTTCAGGCTGGAATCGGACATCCACCGACACCCCGAAGCTTGATGTCCATGGTCGCGCGATTCTGCTTCAGTCGGTCCCAGCTGGCTCCCGAGTGTCGAAGTTGGCGCGGCACCGCGTAGGTCGGGAGGCCTATCTTTCGAAGCGCAGCTTTCCAGTTGTTGAGGGGTTCTTGGTAGGTGATCTTGAAAAGAGGCTGGTTTGGGACCCCCACCTTCAGGCGCATCAACACTGCAAATACTTCAGCTCTGGGGAGTCTAAAAGGATCGATTCGTCGTTCACTCCATCCAGTCTTGCTGCATCCTGCGGTCTCTGAGGGGTTGAGGTTGAGAGCCCCAGACGGCCAAGACGTTCCCCTTTGATTGGACTGAACCAAATCGTGAATCTTCAACTTCGTGGCTTCCCCTGGTCTAAGGTATGCCGAGAACATGACCAGGATGCAAAGCGCAGTGGTTTGAAGGCCCATCTTCCACATTTCTAAAACGACCAGGGTGATGAAAGGAAAGGCCAGGGGGGTTCTCTGCGACCCCGGATCCAGATTCCCCCATCCCTTGAGGGCGCGCTTGCTTCCGGTCAAAGCTGTCGGAATGCCTCCTGCACTGCGGCAACAAACTGTTGAGCTTCTGACAGGTCCAAACCCTCGGTGAAGGCGGTGTTGAGGAAGTCCGCCATGACAGGGTTGTAAATTGCTTGTGGAGCAGTGCGTGGATAAGGGGCTGGGGTTGCTTGCGGCAGGCTTGGCCTTTGCTACGCTTCTTGCGCCAGTTTTGGGACCAAGTTGCTTATGAGAGCAGCGATTCAGAAAGAGAGGACCAGGCCAACCTTGCCAAACTTACAAAGCTTCTCAGGGATGATGTTTTCTTTGTCTGCCTGACCAGCAGTGGACGTCGTGAGGGCTCGAATGTTGCAAAACCCTTGAAATACCCTGGTTCTTCGCTGGTAGTTGTTGGAGGTTTGGGGTGACACTGCAAACTCCTCCAGCCGAGTTTGGCCACGGAACCTTGGTTGAGCTGGGTTCTCCTGGATCCAGGCGCATCGATTCTGTCGACGCTCTTCTGAGGTCTTCCCCTTGATCTTGACGCGGATCTGAGCCATCTTCACTTTGGATGAAGGCGGCACCTCTAGTCGAACAGCGTCCTTCAAGGCATGAATCATTCCTGACCTGGTACCTACGGGGGTAGATGATCTTGTCGATGGTCTTTTTGACGAATCTTTTCGACACCTCGGCGTTTTTGGACTTCTCCTCCCATTTGCGCGACGGGCCATCTGCGGCGTTCCACTCTGAAGGAATCCGCCTATGAAACAACCGCGCTCCCATTGCAACACCATATGCAGCAGCACGTCTACAACAAATGAGAAGTGGAAAAACTTTGACTCTCCCTCTATCAAAAGCTAAAACCATGCCAAGATTGTCTCCCAAATGAAGATGTCTGAGACCAAAATTGTTCTGTGACCGTGCCAAATGCCGAATTGTCTGTAGTGTCGCTCTGCCTTCGAGAAGAGTAATATGTTCACGCATGAGCATGCGGGCGTTGAACCAAAACT